GAGCTGCTCCCAGGGGCACAAAGCACTCACGGTGTGGTAACGCAGCCCGTATTGATCCATCGGGGGGGCAGAGCTAGGCACCAGCACTGCTCTGGCTGATGCACACCCCAAACCTGCCCCTGGGCTGCTCTGCAAATCACAGGTTTAGCTCCGACCCAGCACTAACGTACGGCTTTAAACCTCAGGGAGGGAGGATTTACCTGATTTACCTGTGCAGCATTAGAACTGCAGAGCACCAAAGTGGTGGTTTGCTGTGCTGGCTCTGCTCCCTTCCCATCCCAGCATTTCAGAGCATCAGTTCCAGAGTGCTGCTGCCAGCGGGACCTGAGCAGCCAAACTCAGCTGGCAAAAGCACAGCAGGACTTGCCAACTCCCCACCAAATTAGAAACGGCACAAAGGGTCAAGTTTTGTCATGGCAGGGGCAGATGCAGCGTGGCCTCTACCAACAGGAGAGTGCCAGCTCTTGGCAGGAGAAAACTCAGCCCCGGGACAGGGCCGGCTGGTGGCAGAGCCACACGGGGCTCAGATGGCAGGAGGAGATGGAGTGCTGCAGGGGAGCGGCTGCTGTCTGCCAACGGGGGATCCCCCGTCCCCTCCCTGTAGCTTGAACTCTCACACTTTCACAGCTGGGGGGGGGAGGATGCCAATTTCCTCCCGCAGGGACTCCACGCTCTGCTCCCAGCGCTGCTCGTAGTAGACGTTCAGGATACAGCTGGCATTGCGCCCGCTCCGAATCGCCCAGGGAACCAGCTCTGTAGCCAGGACCTGCAGTTTTCTGGAACAAAGCACGCAGAAGATGTTGATTTTGATTTTCTCCTCCAAGTCCCTTTTTCTAGGCAGATGCAAACCCTGTGCCCCTCCACCCTTCTAGCATTCCTCTTGCTTATCTCACAGGGGAAACTCAGGCACCAAAGACGACAGTGAGCTGGGAGGGTTACAGTCAGCAGCAAACCTGAGACCAGAACTCAGGTTAACATGCAACCCCGTACTGTGCTGGGCCACCAAAACAGATTTGTTGTGGCAGGGAGCAGCACTGTAAGGGTCCTGCTGGCTCCAAACATGGGCCCCGCTCTTCCTGCCTGGTGTGCTGGGGAAAGAAGATGCTGACAGCACACGGGAGAGTCTGGGCTGGAAAACATCACCAAGGCTGGCACGTCCCCGAGGGCAGAGCCTCCCTCATCGGTGCCTACCGTGCGTTGAGACGGACGGGGCCGAAGGCTGCTCCCAGGATGCACATTGGCAGCCCGGTCTGGACGGCTTCGAACCATTTCACCACGACCTCGCCTGCGAGGAAGGAAGGGGGCAGTGAGCAGGCAGGGAGCGGGCAGGGATCACGATCCCATGCCAGGACAAGCCCCCTCCTGTGCTACCCACCAGGGACAGCCCAGCAGCCGCCCCCGGGAGAGCAGCACGGGGCCATCAGAGTCCCAGCAGCTTGGGAAAAGCCTCCCAGCAGGCTGGGTTCCTGCAGACCTCTAGCAAGGAGATGCTAAACCAGGATTCCCCGCATGGCTCTCCCTGTCTCTCAGCATGGAAAAGCCCATTCCCAACCCTGGTCCCATCTCAGCCAAAGCCTAAGAGACCTGAAATGCCGGTTCCCACGGGCTCATCAGCCAGGCTCAGCTTGTGACATGCCACTGAGTCAGACACAAAATGAGGGGAAAGGACACAGGGATAAGTGGCTGGGGAACAACCAGGAACCCCCGGCTCTTCTGCCTGCGTGCAGAGCTTGTGACACCGAGCTCCCTCGGGGCTGCACAAACACCCACCCACCGGCAGTGCATCGCCTTGCAGGGGGACAGAAGGTGCATGTCCCGTGCTCTCTTGGCTTCCTGTTGCAGGACAGCGATGCTGCAAACCTCCCCGCATGCCTCTCTGGGCTGAAGGATCAGGGAATCCGAGCAGTCTGGCCCCGTTTGGTTCCTGGGAGTGGCCGGTGGCTGCACACCATCCCCGAGGTTTGCTGGGCAGCTCAGACCGCCGAGCCCACGGCTGCTCACCCAGCATGTTGGTGGGCATGCCCAGGAGGGTGTGCATCAGGTCGTGAACCTCCCGGTACCGCTGGATCACATACGCCAGCTCTTCGTCATCCACAAACTTGGCTGGCATGCGGGTGTCCGGAGAAACCTTCTGTCAAGGCAAAGAGAAATGTTCAGCCCCTGCAGAGCTCAAGCTTCAGGTCTCAGTCGTTAAACAGCAACATGAGTTCCCCGTCAGCATGTCTCCCCCCTCCTAATGCTGTGGCTGTCATTGACATAGACAAAAACCACACAGCACCCGTGACGTACCCAGCACCACGCAACACCCTGCACCACATCCCAACCTCGCAGATCCCACTAATCCCCTTCATTTCCTGAGGGTGCCCTACAGGTTTTTTCCACGGCTCTAATCTCCCTCTAAAGCTCATCTGTGGCTCTCAGCACAGGCTGCCAAGAGACCTATTAGCACCCTATTAACCCCCACACTCACATTATCCTCCAAAAAACGGACGTATTCGCGGCCCAGCGTGCCGTCGGGCAGCCCCCGCAGCTGGTCCATGTCCAGGGTGGAGAGGCGGATGCGAGGCCGCTCCCTGAAAGGGAAACACAAGTCAGCGAGCTTCGTCGTGAAACCCCCACAGCTGGGGGGCTGGAGAAATGGGGACCTGGAGCCCCCCACCCCTGCCTCTGCCCTCCAGGAGCATCTTCCTTGCATGGACCCTGACTGCTGGCCCCATCCCTTGTCGTGCTGAAGGGCTCGACCCAAAGCCTTGGCACAAGGAGCTCCTGTCTCGCTCCCCTCCAGCAGTTCTGGTCAGAAGAACCACAGTCTGCCCCTCACCGAGCTGCCGCCGTGCTGGCTGGCAGCCAGGCCCAGGAGCAGATCTCCTCAGTGCCCCTGCAAAGCAGCCAGGACTTCAAAGCAACAGCCCCAGAGAGGGGAGGGAATTTGTTCTAAATGCAGGTTTAGTTTCTTTCCTCCTCGGGCTTTCATCGCTAGCCACGTGGCAGCCATGCACGGAAAGGTCTCCTTCTCCAGGTTGCTGGCAAACAGGCCCTGGGACTAAACAAAAACTTTTTATTTCCATGCAAAGGACGATTTCTTCTCATGATAAAAGCTTCGCAGTGGATCCAGGAACTGCTTAGCTCCTGGAGTGGAGGTGCCAGGGAGATAAGCAGGACCTGCACCAGCTTTACCCGGGCTGCAGACGCTTCCTTGTAAATCTGGTGTCAAAGGGACCTCATCAGCTTGAAAAAAAAAATACTCGCATGCACAAATCTGGCTGCTACAAATCCCTGCTGCAGCAGCAGGGCAAGGAATGGATGGGATCGTCCCTCCTCAGCCCTTGGTGTCTGTGCCGTGCCCTCGCTCTGGGCAGTTTCCCCGGGGCTCAGCCCTTGCTCCCGGGGCTCTGCGTGCTTTGCTGGGTGGATGAGCAGAGCCCCAGGCAGGATCAGGCTCTGCACAACCACACGACACGAGGCAGCCTTCCCCAGCCCCTTCATGGAACAACACCCAACCGGCAGGCGTGATGAATAATGAGAAGTGGAGAGAAGGAAAGCAAAGGAGCAGTAAGATCGTGGTTAATAAGAGACTTGTTAAGTCCCTCCTGCTCCTGAGCCTTGTTGTGCTCGAGTCCCTGTAGACACGGAAGCAAAAGCGATCAAGTCTTGTCTAGGAAGACAAGAGGCCTCGTTTCACAGCTCAGGGAGATGCCGTGGGCGCCTGGAAAGGAGTATGGAGGGGCCCAAGGAGAAGGCAAACCAGGGGAGATGGAGCCTCCAACGCAAGGAGACGCAGCAGCAGGCACAGGGGAGAAAACCCACCACGAGCGTGGATCTCATCGCAGCTGGGACAGACAGCAGCTGCCAGTGACAGCAGCGAAGCAGAACAGACGGCAGAGCTGAAACAGGGCCCAGGGGCTTCCGCGCTGCTGCCCCCGGCCCTGCCACAGGCTGCTGCGATCATTCAAAATAAAGCAAAATCAGCAACCTGGGGGCTGGGAGCTGAGGAATGGGGTCGGCGGTGAGCCCCCTCCTCACCCCAACCCGCGGCAGGGAGAGGTGGAAGGACAGACGGACATGGCACAGGGATGAGGGATGGATGCGGATGCGGAGGGACGCACTGGAGGATGCGGTAACCTTCGGGGTGCTGTCTCATCTTGTCCCGCAGGCTCGGCAGGGCCAGGCAGCCCGTGGTCTCCCCGAGGACTGCCACCATGTCTGCAAGAGAGAGCGGGCGCTGAGGTGCGAGCAGCGGGCGCACGTGCGCTCGGTTTGGTGCCCCCCAGCCCCCCTCGGGGGGCAGGTGAGGAAATGGGGTGATGATCCCCTTCGGCCAGGATCAGGCGGGGAGCTTGTGGCAAAGAAAATCCCTGCTCGGCGAGGATCTTCGGCCTCGGGGCTGCTCCTCCTCGCTGCCAGCTGGGAGCGGGATGGGGCTGGGGGCACCGCAGGGGCTGGCAGGAGACTGCTGGGGGTGGTGGGGACCCCTCGCCCCCTCCCACAACCCTGTGTTTGTGCCTTTCTGGGCCAGGAGAAGGAGCAAAACCCCATTGCGTCACCCAGGGGATGGGGGGCTCGGGGTGGGCTTTGCAGGGAGTTACCGGGGGTCGTGGGCATGGGGGGACCCCCCCGGGGCCCCCTTACCGTGCCTGTAGGGATCCCGCAGTGCTGCCAGCGCCGAGCCGGCAGCCAGCAGCGCCTTCTGCAGCGGGCTGGTGGGGATGTGGCCGGGGTACAGCGGGAAGCCCCCCTCCGCCTCCATCATCACCTCCTCCTCCTCCTCCTCATCTTCCTCCTCCCGGGGCCTGCCGCGGCTCAGCCCGGCTCTGCCTGCGGACAGCGGCGGGGCTCAGAGCCCAGCGGGAACCCCCCCGGGCTCTCGGTGGGTAACGGGCAGGAGGAGGGGGGATTGGGGGGGCTCTTACCTGGACCACCGGGGGTCGCCCGCAGCAGCGGGACCCCCACGACCGCAGCCACCCGGCGCAGCATGCCGAGTCCCCCGCCCCGGAAGCAAGCGGCGGGGCGGAGCGGGTGGCACGGCCCGGAACGGCTCGGTACAGCCGGGTACAGCTCGGTACAGCTCGGTACGGCATGGCGAGCATCCCCGCCGGGCTTTTCGCCGTCTACAAGCCCCCGGGGGTGTCGTGGTGCCGCGTCCGGGACGCGGTGCGGGCGCGGCTGCTGCGCGGTGAGCTTGGAGAGGGGGGGGTTGCGCGGGGCACCGGGATCCTCCTGGGGGTCTCCGGTTTTTATCCCCCTTCCTCACTCCCCTCGGGACCTTTCGGTGTTTTGGCAGAGCTGAACGAGGCCCCCGAGCCCCCCCCGAGGCAGCGCATCCGCTTCTTGCCCACAGCCCCCGGTGCCGGTGGGGAGCCGGGCTTGGTGCCCGCATGGGTGCCGGTGCTGGCCGAGCACCCCCTCGGTAAGGGTCTGGGGTCGGGGTTGGGGGTGTTGGGAGGGTGGCGGGGCCGTCCTGATGCTGCTTCTTCCCTTGGCAGTCCGAGGTCCCCGGTTCAGGCAGCTGAAGGTTGGCGCTGGTCACCGGCTGGACGTGAAGGCCTCCGGAGTCTTCGGTGGGTCCCTGCCCGCTGCGAGGGCACGGGGAGAGCAGGCGGTGAGGGATGGGGTGCTGCGGAGCCGTATGGCCGTGCCTGGCCACCCAGGGGGAAATAAAAGTGCTTAAACACGAGAAAAATGGGTTGTGGGGTGCTGGGAGCGCTGGGATGTTCTGAGACACTGAGCTCTGCTGTGTGACACCGGTAGTTCTGTCCTGCAGTCCTGCCGTGTTCCTCAGGCACAGCTTTTGAGGAGACGTGGCCCTGTCTGGAGGGGAAGGAAAGCATCACTGATCGTGCCATGCTGCCTAAATGCAGGTGTGGGTGACTAACGGGTGCCCCTCTCTCCCGTGTTTCAGTGCTTGGCGTGGGCCACGGGAACAAGCTGCTCACGGATCGCTACCACTGCCACCTCACCAAGGTAGGTGTGGGCCCTGACTGGGCTCACAACACCCCAGTGCAATGCCACTGCTGACCCCTGCCCAGTGCCCCCCGCTGGCCTCATGGCAGAGTCTGAATCTCAAACCCAGCGACACTTCTCAGAGCTTTTCTGGGTCCAGAATTTCATCTTTCATGTGCGTATCCACATGTGGCCTGTGTGTAGAGGACGCAGGTATCTTTTTGTCCAACATCGTAGCAGCTCGCACTTTCTGCCGGCTGCACAATATGGTATTGCTACTCCATTGCTCACTCTTTCCTTGATAAATCATGCTCTTTGCTCTCCTTGAAGGTTTACACCGTCGGTGGGCTGTTTGGGAAAGCTACTGAGGACTTCTCGGACACCGGGAAGCTAGTAGAGAAGGCGACGTTTGGTAAGGAACTGAGCTAACACGTGTAAAAAAACCAACAAAACAAAGAGCATTCCCACTGAATCCAAGCAGGTAACTTACACAGTGATAAAAGGCATGCCCTAAATGCTTTCTAGTCTGTGTTTATGCATGCAGCCCACGTGCTGCAGGCATCAGTCCCCCTGTGCTGAATCCAACTGCAATAAATACAAAGCCAGGCTGAGTTCTGAGCACAGTGGTTGCTGTGGGTGGAGTGAGACCCAGACCTCTCCATAAATCATGCCTACAGATAGCGGTTGGAAGCTTCTGCTGAATGAGGCTCCTCAAACACTTGATAGGAGGAACTGGAGCCAACATCTTGAAATCAATTAAGAAAAATGATTCTTCCTTTGCAGTGCAGTGCTGTGCTGCTAGGCACATTAGCATGGTACAGTGAGTAGAGTTGACTCTGCCCTGCTAAAGCCACCTCTCAGCGGCTCTCATCAGCCCATTTAGATGCAACTGCTTGCCAAAGGGATGGTAATACCCTGATGGCACATTTCAGACTGCTGTCTTTCCAGTTTCTGGATGGATAATTGAGACTTTTGTTTCTACCTTAATATTTGCAGATCATATCACAAGGGAGAAGCTGGAACGGATTCTCGCTGTCATTCAAGGAACGAATCACAAGGCCCTGCTGCTGTATGTATCCAGTGGGGAAATGCAGCTGCCCTGGTATGACTGCCATTTGCTGATCTTTAAAAGACTTTGTTTACCACAATCAAAGCCTTTAAAGGTTGGAGTGCTAAACAAGAACAGACAGAAGATACTTGGAGTGCTCTGCACTCTGGTTGGAGGCAGCAGCTAAGTGTCCCTTTTGTGTTCTGAAATCTCCAGCTATTTTAGGACCTATCAGCTACAGCAGGACCTACAAAAATATCTTCTAGATGTGACCGAGCACCTCCCTCCTAAACTGCACAACACTACTGACAGTACACATAGCATAGCATTAAAATTATGCAAAAACTTGATGCATAGCCAGGTTTAATAATAACAAGTGCAGCTCTGCTTTAACTGGGAGCGGGTATATTTTGAATCCCACTGAAGAGAAGTACTCAGTGTCTGCTCTGCTCCTTTTTTTCCTTTTCCAGGCATTCTAACATTGATATGAAAACACAGGAGGCCTATGAGCTGGCTGTCAATGGTTTGATTCGCCCCATGGGGAAGAGCCCTCCGATAATCACAGCAATCCGGTGCCTCCAGTTTGCGCTTCCAGAATTCCAGCTAGGTAGGACTGGTACAAACTGCATTGGGGAAGTCTTGGCATATATCATGGCAAAAACATTGGCAAAATTCAGTTTCTCGTTAGTAACAATGCAGAATGAATTGGTGGGAACTCTTATATCAACTAGCAATCACTGTAGAGATGCATGATTTGTAGCTTCCAAGATCAAAAGGATCTTAGACTGAGGCAAGAAATCTTGTAAAGCAAATACCTGTGGGACAAAGTTCTTCCTTTAACCAGTATTTTAGTGTAACGCAGCTCAGGGGATGTGGGAGGATGTTTAAGCATGGTCTGCTTTTCTGCAGTTTGTCTCCTATTCCTCACACATCATTTGTCTCTTATTACAAAGGCCCCTCTTCTTATCCACTTTAAAATAGCGAAACCTCTGTACGATTCTTCTGAATCCGTGGGTTTGTTTTCTAAAATACTCATTTCTGGAGGACCCAGGACATCCTGCAGTATTCCAGAAAATCATAATCTACCTGTACTATATGTTAAATAGTCTATTCTACTGAATTATTTCTTTCAGCATAAGTGTGAGGGTCATCTGTGTTTTCAGACAAGGTCTGAGCTTGTGCCATCTCTTGGCCTGTTCTTAAAGAATCTCTCTGACCTTCCAGAAATCCACTGCGTGCACGAGACTCAGCAGTACCTCCGAAAAATTGTTCACGAGATCGGTCTGGAGCTGAAATCATGTGCTGTGTGCACCCAAGTGCGAAGAATACGCGATGGTGTTTTCACACTGGACGACGCTCTCCTGAGAACGCAGTGGAACCTGCAGAGCATACGGAACGCAATTTCGGACTGTCAGCTTAAAGTGAGAGAGGAGTTGGAGAAAACGCTGGGCCATCAGGATAAAAGCGTTCCTAAGATGGCTGCTGAGGTGGCCCACGAACACCACAAGCAATCTCTGTAGCACAATAACGTCGCTGCACGCTGACAGAATGATGGACAGCAGAAAGAAGGAGGTTAATTGCAGTTCACTTCCACCCTTTCCTTGAGATGACTTTAATCAGAGAGGCATTTTTTCATTGACAGGCTGTATCTTTTTTTTTTATTAAGCATTGCAAACAGTTCATTAACAGGAGTTAGCCGTGCCAAAATTCCTGTTGACTTCAGGATTATTAGGTTGCCAGGGGATAGAGAAACCCATTCCCAAATTGTTGAGCAGCAGGAAATACAGACAGCATCTTACAGAGCCGTATTCCCTTGATTGCACAGATCTGTTTGTTCCTTGCAACCAGCAGCATAACTTATCTACTGCACAAATTTTTATTTTCCCCCATGTTCTCGTAGCAGGAGTGTTTTCCTTACATCAGCCCCACTTTCAGACACACAAGAGCCCAAAATCAGATTAGGAGGCAGTGAAGGAGAAAACACAGCTTCCTTGAAGCAACACAGGGAAATGGCTATAACACGGAGTAGGCATGTGTGGTGGGGAAAGGGGCTTGTAGAGAACTGATACAAAGATGATTTAAACATAAGAATAAAACTGAGAGCGACCCCAGGGGAAAGAGACTGTTACAGGGTGCAATACTTACAAAAACCACTGATTCATTAAAAAAAGCTTTTTTTTTTTTTTATACCGAAGGTATTCAGGGGTCTGTGGTATCCTGCCCTTTAGCAGCTGCCTGCAGTCAGCACGTACTGCTCTTCCATGAAACGAAGTTCTGTAATACCAGTTGTTTTCTATTAGCTCATTAGATGTGGACTGGATTTAGCAGAAATAAACTGTGTAAGTTTAAATGAAAATTCTGAAGATATACTTGCCGTTACAACCTGCAGTGTTTCCCCAGCTACATGTCTGAACTACAGACTTGTGTATTTCTAGATTTATAAACCTTATAAAGCAATAGAAGGTATTTGTTCCTCTGCTGGATTTGGGTAAAGGTGAGCATGTTTTACCCTCGATGTAGCCCTGAAAGTACAAGGAGCAACTCTGGGAGGAGCGCTAAGAGGGACTGTGGGGAAGCACCCAAGTAGTAGAGTCCAGGCCTGAAGCATCCCTGAAGTCCTTAACTCAAACCCTGGACTCTTCCCATTGTTCCGGCTCTCCCTGCACTGCAACTAGCAGCCAAGGCAGCCGTGGAGCACAGCTGCCACCCCGTGGCACGTTCCTGTGCCTGCTGTAGACTCACCAAGGGCAGTTTGCTCTTTGCTGGCTGGCTTTGTGTGCGTTCATCCATCGTGGACAATGGACGGAGATCAGGACACCTTCCACTGACGGCTGGCTTGTGCTGACTGAAGCGTAAACCATCCCTGCAGAAGCAGTCTCGGAGCTGGCAGAACGCCGGCACGGCTACAGCCGCACCAGCACTCCTAGAACTGCACCAAGTAGCCAAATTTAGGCCGTACAGTCACCCTCAGTCCTAGCACCTGACATTGAAACATTCTCACTCTCAACACTATTTTGCATTTTAGGACACCGCTCGCTTTCAGCGACTCTGCATTTAGAAGTGAGCTAAGGGAATTCTGCCCCCACCCGTTACTGTCAGGCTGCCTCCACTGAGTCCCCAAACAAGATCTGAATAATAGATCTCAAACTTGTTTTAGAACGCATTTTCAGGATTTGTTCCCCAGTTCATTTCATGCTTACCAGGCTCTTAAAGTGAATTGCTGAGAGATGTGAGAGCTGCTTTATTCAGATTGGGTAGTTCAATATAACTTCACATTTTACTGTAGGAATGATACAAAAATCTCTAGATACCTGAGTAGCTAAGTACAAAAATATAAACCACACTTCTGCACATTCAATCCTCAAAAGCAAAACAAAACCAAACAACTTCAACCCTCTGCCCTTCCTATTTCTGAGGGTTTCTCTTTTCCTTCAAAGCAGCCATTCCATTGCACATTCGTATGCCCTCACTTCCTCTATCCATTCAGCAGTAGCTCTTCCACCTGCAGATCAGCATCTCCAAATTGACCCTGGATGCTGAAGAGAGGCAAAGACTCAATGGGAACAGTCTTTGCATCAACCTTGCATTACATTTCCAATAAAAAAAATAAAAATAGTGGTGATTGGGTAGCATACAAAAACAAATTTATCCAAAATTCCACATCTCCAACGCCCCTTTCCACCAGCAGGAACCAGCTGAGAGATTAATAATTTGACATTCCAAAGCCTCTCAGAACAAGGCTGTTAACAGCACTCCTCAAAGTTTACACATACACACATCTGAGACAGCCTCCTGCTGGATCTAAGCAGGAATGACAGCACAAAATGGGCCGGTAACAGTCATTGCAGGATACGGCAGTCCTCAGGTTCAGTGCTAGTCATTGAGCTCCAGATCATATTCAGGGTACAGCTGCTTTGCAGTAACCCCTCGGATAACAGTTCAGGTGTACCCAAAGGCTTCCGTTGGGGGCACTTTTTGATGGGAGAAAGGGGCTCCGTGTGCATTTTCTGGGGTCCTATTTTAAATTTGTCTCAGTGTTCCGGTTAGGGTTACATTTAGGGTTGTTCAGAAAGAACGAAGACACAGAGTCCGGCTGCATGTGGGGCTGCGTAAAGGCTCCCCTGGGGAGTTCAGGTGTACGCAAAGGCTTCTGTTGGGGCCCTTTATGGGATTACAGTTAGGGTTAAGGTTAGGGTTAGTGTTAGGGTTTAGGGTTTAGGGTTAAGGTTAGGGTTAAGGTTAGAGGTTAGGGTTAGGATTAGGGTTAGGGTTTAGGGTTAGCGTTAGGGGGTTAGTGTTAGGGGTTACTGTTAGGGTTAGGGTTTAGGATTAGGGTTAGGGTTAGAGGGTTAGGTTTAGGGTTAGGGTTAGAGGTTAGGATTAGGGTTTTAGGTTTAGGGTTTTAGGGTTAGGGTTAGGGTTTAGGGTTAGGCTTTGGGTTAGGGTTAGGGGTTTAGGGTTAGTGTTAGGTTTAGGGTAAGGGTAGCATTAGGTTTAGGGGTTAGAGTTAGGGTTATGATTAGGGTTAATGTTAGGGATTATGGTTAGGGTTAGGGGATAGGCTTAGGAGAAACTTCAGAGTTACGTATAGGGTTGTTTGGAAAGAGCAAATGCACAGAATCCATGTGCATGTGCAATTACGTAAAGGCTGCCCAAAGGAGTCCAGGTCTACCCGAAGGCTTCCATTGGGAGCATATTTTGATGAGAAAGGGGCTCCGTACGTGTTTTTTAGGGTCCCACCTTGTTGAGGGATTGTTGAAACAGCAAAGATCCCATGACTTGCTGCAGCTGAGCAAACCACGCTACCAGGACGACTGTGAGAAGTTCCCATGACAGTGTTCCCACATCGCCCGACCGAGGAATTTAGAAAAATATCGTTGCCAGCAGCTGGCTTCAAGGATGGGATCTACATGAGTGCTAACCACAGGGGGGCTGTCTTCTTGCAGGTGGGCTTGTTTTCGTGCAGTTGTTTGCCTGAGTGCTTTTAACCAATAATCTCGTGTGAGCCTCTCTTCTGAGAGACTCCGAGCACAGACCCGAGCAGAGATCGCGGGGAAGCGCGGGAAAGTGACGTCAGGTGGCGAAACGCGGGAAAGTGACGTATTCCGGTTTTACGCGGGAAAGTGACGTAGTGCGGCGAGACGCGGGAAATCCGGAGCCGAGTCGCGGCGTCCGTGGAAACGGCAAACGGGCGCCACCGTGTGGCGAGCTGGCGCATAGCACAGCGGTGGGGATCGCCCCCCTGCAGGAGGCGGCTCTCCAGCTTCTCTCTGGTGTTTTCTCCAAGGCAGGTGTATCTTGCAATGTCAAAAAGACCAAATCCTTGGTGCACCGGGCTCAGAAGGAGGGTTTGCTGAAGGGAATCCCTCTAATGTTTGGCCCAGCTGAGTGGCGGCACGTAGGGGATCGCTTATGGGATAACGCCATCTCAAGTGGGAAGCTGGATAAAGATGCACGTGGGATGTGGCACACCGTGATTAATGCATGGAAACCGAACAGCAGCTCGCTGTGGCAGTGGTGCAAGCCTTGTCAGTACCGTCTGGGACTGACAGACCGCTGAGTACAGAACCTGAGACCTCAGGAAGGCGGCTGGCACGATCCTTATCATCAGTTCCTGCACCCACTCTGGTTTGGGGCGTGACCTCTCCAATAAAGCAATCAGTAGCAGAAATAACTGAGGGACTATCGGAGCAGAGTGCTGATGGGGAGTGGGGGCTGCCCTTCTCACCCCCCACACTGGAAAATCTTGATAAAGCTGCGCTGCCAGCAACGTGTCCACTTGACTGTCAAAATTTGGCGCGCTTATTGTTAACTCCTTCCCCATTGTTATTGTTTGAAGGGAATGGTTGAGGTCAGCACAGGGGGAAGCGGGTCAACTGCGTCAACTGGGGAACCCTCTGTATGGGATCACTGCAGAGATGTTAATGGGGACGGGTCCTTATCTCAATACCCAGATTTTGTTGCAGTTCCCTGCGATTATTCACCAAACAGCTGCGCAACTCACGCTGAGGGCTCTTCCTAATCTCCCAGGGGAAAAGAAAGCACCTCCATTCGCGTCTGTAGAACAGGCCCCTGGGGAACCATATGCTAAATTTATTGATCGGTTGTGGGCAGCAATTCCTGATCATCCTGATCTAACAGCGGAGTCTAAAAGCAGTGTGTTTAAAATGCTTGCATTTGATAATGCAAACCCCAAAACTCAAAACGTCTTAGTTACACTGCCGAGAACCACACCAGTGGAGGACACGTTGGTATAGAGAGCTGATCAGTGCAGGCAACCAGGTGTGGTGGCACAGGACTGTCACAGGTTTGGTTTTACGGTATCCCCCATTAACAAACAGGCCCCGGAGAAGCGCTATGAATGGTCAGTGCTTCTACAGGGGATGAGGAATTCCCCTCCATCACGTCAATTCTATGTGGCCTGGGCATTACAACCAATTCGGACAGCGTGGTGTGACATAATTATTTTCCATTATATGGATAACATTCTGTTTGGTAGGCCAGAATGCTTCCAGGATTCAGATTTAAAGTTTATACTTTGGAAGCAAAAGGGTTGAAGGTAGCCCCACAGAAGGAGGAGCTGCTCCAAGAACTGGTAGAGAAATTGGAGAACTTAAAAATTACAGATTCGGAGGAGCTTCCTCTCTTGTTTGCCCCACTGGAGCTGACTCCCTCATTATCTATCTGTATTTAACTATTTTAAATTCGTCTCAGTGTTCCGGTTAGGGTTACGTTTAGGGTTGTTTGGAAAGTGCAAACACAGAGAGTCCAGTTGCATGTGGAATTGTGTAAAGGCTCCCCAGGGGAGTTCAGGTGTACCCAAAGGCTTCCATTGGGAGCATGTTTTGATGGGAGAAATTGTTGCCTTAAACCCATAGATCAGAATTTAATGAGATTTTTTTAATCTTGAACATAGGAATAAAAGAATGTTTCAGCTTGGTAACGTAAGGCTTGCTATTACAACGCGACAAAAGAGCTACAAAATTAACAGGTTAAAGGTAGCAGTACATTTCTAGAAATGATCCCCAAAACTCCAAACTCTTTTATGTATTTTATTAAATAGGACTCCTAACTAGTTGAAGCCACAGATTTAGCTGTGGGGGAAAAGAAAGTTAAATCCATGTTATCGAAACTGAATTCAGCAGTTTGGTAGGAAAAACACACTCAGCAACTTCGGTGTGAGATGAAAATCACTAACTTATGGAATGAATTTGACTAGAAAGAATATCTTAGTTTATAAATACTGAATGTGACTGAATGACATTTAAATAGTTCCTGAAACACTGTATTTAATTTATAGGCAGAATATACTTATAAATAGTAGAATGACATACATTACAAAAATATACATTCCCTTAAACTTTTCTAACTCTTTAAATTATTAAATAAACTCTTTAATCCTTTAAACTCTTGGCTCATATATCATTAATAAATAATATATTTTTAAAACCATTTCTGTCCTATTTAATGAATAACCAAAATGCATGTCTCAAAACTACAATGCCTTAAGAAATTATTGAGAAAAAGACAACTAATCCAGACAAAAAAAACCAAAACACTTTCCTAAGTTTTCTTGTAACAACTGTAGTTACAGACAGAGAAGCTGCATTATTTACTCAGTGCCTGCACTAAAAGGAAAACCGTATCATATTTTACTTAAAAACTACTTTTGAAAAGAAACTAACCTGTTTACGGATGAGAATCTCTGGCCTTACCAGTTAAACAGAGTGACAGTATATATAAAAAAAGGAGCATAATATTATTCCAGCTGATAGCCAAAAAAATAAAATCAGTATAATATGTACTGGTAACACAGCAAAGATATTCTTCATTTGTTATAAATATTTATGTTATTTTTATATAGTCTTATAAACCGTTTAGGAAGCATGAGAAGATGGTAAATTTAAACATATTTGTAAGGTAACTGTAAGGTAAACTATTTGTTTAGTTAAAGTGACTAAGTAAAAATCAGAAGTCCAAGAAAACGAAGTTCAAAACCTAACAGCATGTCACCAAGCCTGTACTTTTAAAACAAACAAACAAACAAACAAACAAACAGTCAAAGATTCAAAGAATCCACCAGCAAGATTTCAATCAAGGCTACCAAACAATTCCAGTCAGACATTGCAATTAATTTGGGTATCTCGAAGACAACAGCTGAAAAAACACCAACAGATTTGAAAAAGTATACATACTGACCACAGAAATGGGCCTGAAAAGTTAACTTTTTAACATTTAACACATGAAAATAAATAAGCAACCCTCTAGCACTCACTGCTGTTCCTCTGTTAGACTCTCGACAATGCCTTGGGTTTCCCATAACGTCCCTTTCTTCTCCTGAAATGACAAATGAAGGGCAGAATTAATACAAACAGTTGTGACAATTTTACACATATTTTTCTGCATGTGAAATAATTTATGGATGAAACTACCTCTCGAAGTGTAAAGTTAGTGGCTCTTGTCACCTGTTTTCCACCTCTTTCCATAGCTGATGTGGCAACACCCACCTCTTTTCTTCCTTGCCTTAATTACTCCCCTTTTTGTTCCTGAACTGAAACCAGTTCTGCGTGCCTTGCATCACCCTCACATAACCTGCGTCCTGAAATGGGGGGGTTAAAGTTACCCATGGGGGGGTTAAAGTTACCCAATGCACTTCCCCCGAGGCCTGCTGAGAAGGCAGCACTGTGCAGGCTTCAGCTGCAGCCTGCCACGAGCCCTGCCTCTGCACGTGGATTTGCTCAAGGCTACGCAAGTTTGCAGCTCCTCATCCCTTCTGCATGCTCGATTTCTCTGGATTCTGCTGTATCCTCACTTCAACACTTAATTTTGTTTACCTAACTTAGGTCAAAGATGTATTGCCCTTGTTTTTACTTTCTCACATTTCCCTGCTTTTGTGGGTTTAAGATACACCGAGCTGTTTGTTTAGGTGTTCAGAGACCCAACACACTTATATTTATTTTTTAACAATCCCGGTACAAATTGAAAATATCATTCTAAAGATGACACAGGCGCATTTTACCACAGAGAATCTACCTGAAAGTCTCTTCCTGCTTTTTATTTCGAAAACAAGGTTTCCAAATTTGCAGCTAAAATCACCTGAGGCTGTGCCATCAAACCAGGGCAAACTGCAGTTCTTAGAGGTCTGAAAAACCTCAGCCAAGCAAGCAACCAACATATACGCTAATAAAGGAAAGGGTGGCAGAGGTGGTCTGTTCCTTCCTTTAAAAAAAAAGCAGCTACACATCCAAACACGTTCCTAAAATAGCAGCAAAGAACTGCTTATCAAAAATGAAGGTAGTCCTCGTGGTCCCCTGAGGATCCTTGAAGATTGCTTTTCCTGGAGCACAAAAAAAATATAGTTGCTGTGATAGAAATAAAACTAGCACAGATTTATCTGAGAACTCTGGTGGTGCATTCGGGGTGCTGTAGGTTACCAGTAGCCACAATAAGGAGTTTGGCGACTTAACATCCAAATTAGATTTATGCTTTCAATGAAAAAATAATTATGCATTAAAAACCAAGACCAGCAGTCACTGAAAATCTGACTTCCTTACTTTCTTGATTAGAGCTGAGTTCACGGCTCCGTGTGCATACTGCCATAGATACAGGATGAAATTAATTTCCTGGGAGGGCTGAAATCACGGGAGGAGGAGGCTTGTTCTGGGCACTCAACCAGTGCCTTGCAGCTGTCACTGGGGATGCCAAAAAAAGGGTCAGGGGGCACACAGCCTCTGCCTGCTCGGCAGTTGGCTGCCTCTTATAATCGGTATCAATAGGAAGGAAAAAAAAAACCCTCATCTGTGCCATTCTGGAGGCTGCAGCAGCTGTGCTCTGAGGATGCCACGCAGTCCCACACGGAGGACTTTCCCCCTAAGGCACAGGTCTCACCTGCTGAACAATGCCTCCGAGGGAGGGAGGAACCCCTCGTGCTGCTAATGAGAGTGGCAAGTATAGGGAGACCACTTCTTGACCATAAATACCAGGAAACAAAACTGCTCTTAGGCGTTGGTAAGATTGCAAGCACCCTTCTCACCTCCAAGAATACGCTTTTTTTTTTTTACACCTATATATTTTGTATGTTCTTCTACCTTTTTTAAGAACATTCCCTTAGATAGTCACATCTTTTAGGATGTGGGTTCCGCCTCACAGTCCCGAGGAAAGCACAAGCTATTGGCACTGGGGATTACGGTGGCTGAGGACAGCAGGATGCAAGAAGCAAGAGCAGCAGATGATCTGAGATCCTGTTCCCAGGCTCAGCTGACACGAATGCGGTGACCAACTTTGCAGGAGACATCCTTCACTCAGAAGTGTTATCAGCAGAAGTTAATTGCATCTTTGGACTAAGAACAGGAGGGAAAAACTGTGACACAAAACCCACTACTAATAATGATGATGAGAACAAACCATAGGAGCACTCTGGTTTCACGGTCCATGGTCAGAACCCCGTTTATTAAACATTATAAACGTATCAATGTACACCATTTCCTATATACAAATCAAGTTTATCAATTTTTAAAAAGTGCTGTTTGAAATTAGTTTTTTATTTAAAGCACAAGGTAATCGGAATTGCATCTTAACTGGAAGTGAATCAGTTCACGAGTAGTACTGAGCACACAGACACATTGACAGGGGCACACAACACCTTTTAAATCGTAAATGGTGATTTACTGAAACTTTTGAGGAGAAACATTCAGCTTATTTCATACAAACGGTACACAGTGCTTCCATCAGCTCTATTAAGCACAGTTTAATCCTTTTAAAGCAAGGTACTCTGAAAACTTCTATTTTAAAATACCAGCCTATTTACCTATTCCAAACAAAAGGCCTAAATCCTGCAACTGATTCAAGGCAGGCAAAAATATGTGCCCGTGTAGACTTAGTGCAGGCACGTGAGCTAAGTAAAAAACACTTTCCCAAGGTATCCTACCACAAAAATGAAATGCATACTGATCTCTTAAGCCAACCAACCAGCCCAAGGACTACAAAAAGGTGGCCAGACAGTAAGAAATGTCAAGTGACCACCACAGACGTGTTTAAAATGTAGCTGCACAACAGTACAAACACACAAAGGATGTTCTTTATTCCTCTACATGCCACGGTTACTTTTCCTACTCTATGCTATGCTGCAGTCTGCCAATATTCTGCAAATGCAATCACCTCTGGGGATACTAAGTGATACTGGATCCATTCTTGACTGCTTTTGCTCCGTTTTGCAGCGTTAAGGCCAGCCTCCAGGAAGACTGCTGAAGTGATTAAGAGACCAAGTGACACTAAATGGTAGTTTGGCTGAGAGAAGGTCTGCAGAAGACTGGAGAATATTGAATCAATTCACAGGACAAGATGCAAGAACGAACTACTCAAAGGACTTCACCACACACAAATGAAAATGACCAACCAACAGCTTAAATTCACCCCTTTCAGATTTTTCAGTGAAACCGGTGCGGGGACACTTTTATTGTGATATGAACGCACTACTTCAATGTCACTTAAAGTCAGTACAAAGAAAAAGACAGTAGTGAAAAATTGTTTTATTCCAGGTGCTGGAAAGAGAGGCAGAGAGAGCTCTATCAGTACGAAAGAACAGTGCTGAAAATATCCTTGGCGTTTACGTTAGGAACTTCCTACAGCAAACCTAGCTTTTTGCTCTATTGCACAAAAATTGTAAATGAAAAAAGTTCACAGAAATGTAACATTTCAGAAACCACTTTTGAAAAAGGAAAGTAAGGGCACTCGATCGAAGAAAGTTCATTCGGAAAAAATCAAACCCCACCTCTGGGTAACTGCAGGGCATCAGAGCTGGACTCGAGAGCAACGAGGAAATGGTTCCAGCCTTGCAGGCCCATGAGTACGAAAGTAGTGAAATCCACAGAAATCGCGTTGTCTAAGTAGACATGCTCCTTCACTTTCTTCCCCACTTCAATTGTGCTTTGAATCACCTGCTAGCAGGAGGTTTCCAGCATTCAAAAGGTACTTTCAGCGGCTGCTGGGATTGCCTTACACAGGCTGTGTGGACAGACTGACCCACTTTGTTTACCTGGATCCGTGTTTGGATCTTCACGGGTGGATCTCCGCACCCACAGCTGCATCGACGCCGCTGGAATCCTGCTCAGCGAGCTCACCCAACAGTCCTCGGGGTGGGAGAGCTGAGACCCGCGCGTAAAACCACTACAAAGGATTGTCCTAAGGCAACTCGAATGTAAACAAATGTCAGATAGTCTGCTTCCGAAGCACAGCACTCGTATTAAATGCCGTGTTCTCCTAGGATCTCTCAACACATTGCCAAGTGTGTTCTGCGCGCAATCAGGTTTCCTTTCACTATATGATTAGAGGCCTCATAATTTAAAGCATGATCAGCCAGTATCATCTTATCTACAGCAACTACAGAATCCTGTAGTAATGTAAGCCCTAAAAATCATTATAAAAAATATTTCCTTAGAGCGCTTTAAATAATTTACAAAATTCTACAAAACCGAAGTATGTTTATCCGTGATATCCCTGTTAAATAGATGCCTTTTTCACATTAGTGTGTGTATGATATACATATATCAGCCTCTCCCACCATCTCTCATGTCTCAAGTTTTAAAGTTTTATCAAGATAATTGTAACAAGTTATTTCCTAAAAATACTGTTACTGTGGGGAAAAAAAAAAAAAAGTGTACTTACATATGTGAAACTTTTACTTTCAAGAAGGAATCTGGGCAGTCCCCTGCGGGTACGTCAGTAAGTTTTGCACAGTTTTTGTCTAGAACTTCCTGCCCTTGGTCCAGCTCACAATCAGCTCCCCTATTCTGCACGGCAGGCAGTTTTCTTTCCAGACTGGATCTGGATACCTGAATTTCTTCCTGCCTGTCACTGTCCTGGTGGAGAACTTCTTCCTCCTTAATGCACACGTGCACGCTGTTATCCACGTGTGCTCCTCTGCTAGTTTTATCTGCTGTCGCAGTTAGCTCCTGCAGCGGGCAACCTGAACTTGGGTCTGACACGCTGTCCTGCTGGCTATTCTCTCCACTACTGCACACATGTATGCTCTCCTGACACGTCCCTCCACTAATTTTATCAGCTTTTACTGCTGCCATACCGTGTTGTGGGAGAGGGGGATCTAAACTCGAATCTGCCCAGCTGTCTTTGAGGATACCTCCTTCCTTCGTACGTATCTCTACGTTCTCAGCTTTGGATGTTCCTCTGCAAGCCTTATCTACTGTTACTGCTGCCACGCTCTGTTCCTGCTGAGGGGAGATTCGAATGTGAATTTGAGTGGTCTCCTGCAGTGGCAGCCCTTTGGCAGCCCTCTGTGATACACAAAGGAGCAGCCTCCCGTCTTTCACAGCTTTCTGCTACATGGGAACCTGATGCTTCCACAGTGAGCTTCTGAGAAGAACTGGGTTCTTTTATTGCTGTCTCATTCTCCCTGCTAAATTCACCTTTTGGCTGGGAGGCTTCTCTTCCCTGCCTAAGTACGTCTGTATCCTGGGAATCTACCTCCATTCCTAATGCGCTGCTCTGGCTGAGCACCTGCTCTGCTTTTTGCTTTTTCATCAAAAGCATGGATTTCTTCCTTTCCCGAGCGTACTTGAGACCCGCGATAAATTTACTTGAAATTTTTAAGTGAAAGGTGTTCTTTCTTTTAGATCGAGATTTTGCATTAGCTACTTTGCGTACTTTACAACCTTCATTTTTGCCGTTTTTAGCTGCAAGTGTTTTCTGCACAGCTTCCTTATTAGGGACGTCCTTTTTACCTGTTGCATTTCCAGGTAACTCACCAGCAGCACCACCTTTAACCCCCCCTGTTCCTTGTTTAGCTTTTGACTGACCAGTAGTATGAAGATAAACATTCTCTGCCGAGGGAGCAGCTTTCTCACTGTCAAGTAACATTGCACTTTTCCCTTCCATTCTCTGAGAGTTCTTCAACTCGTTGTTTTGCTGGGACACTTTAGTCTTTTTACTCTGACCCAGCAAGAGGCCAACCTCATTTTCACCTGGCTGTTGCTTTGCCTTTCCTTTATTAGCAGTTTGTTTGGTCACCCTCAATAGGTCTAGAGTTGCATCATCTTTTTGCGTCTCTGAATTGCTCGCAGAGTCCTTAGCCTTTTCTGCCAAAAATTTCCTAATTTCCTGTTCAATGCTGTCGTCGCTATCCACTGAACTGCTATCATCAGCATCTGATACAGCTGTGAAAGTACATTTTTTATTCTTAGCTACCCGCAGGTTATTCTGGTTTGAAATTGGTTCGGGTTTATATCCTTTTTTAAGCTGTAAATCAAACTCTAAGTTCTTAATGGTTTCTGGCCTTTCATTTGAAAGTCTGACATTTACGTTGTCTGGAGGATTTCTGATTGCATTCTCTTTCACAGCTTTTCTAGATTTTGAGAGGCAACTTTTCAGTAGCACAGGATTTTTACATTTCCACTCATTTTGTTGGAGGCTGCTAAATTCATCCAGCAGCTGAGCATCTGTCTCGGTAAACCTAACTCTCTTCTTGCACTGAGATTTCTGCTCCTTAGACTTCTTCTTTAATTTTCTTTTAGACCGTAAAAGGTCCTTGATAGCACTATCAAGGTCCTCATCACTATCCAGAGAACTGCTCTCATCAGCCGAACCGTCTCTGTCTTGAGTGTGGATGGTATTTTTCATAAGCTTTCTCGCACCACTCTGAACCTGCAAAAAAGGATTTACAGAATCCAAGGCCACGCATTTGTCAGCGGATCCGCACAACTCAGAAGACATCAGCTGCTGCTGGGTAGTCTCGTTGCTGTCGAGCCTCCGAGCATCACAGAGTTCTTCAGGGCAGCTCAGGGCACACCCCTCGAGGAGCAGAGGAGATTTTGAATAGGTATCCGGCTGGAAAAATCCCGTCCCCAGCTGTTCAGGTGCTTTTGATGCATCTTGTTTCACTACTCTGCCTTCCCTTTTAAGTCTCCTTTTACGACTCAGTGATAGCTTCAGTGTTTTGGGAAGAGAAGGCTCAAGAGTACCAGTGAGGCTGTTCTGATCAGATGGCAAAGGCATCTGGATCGAGCGTGACAGGCTGGGAGGCTTTGTTACGAGGCTTTCCGACTGAGCTTTCAGAGCCAAAAAAGCTCTGATTTCTTGCTCTATGCTATCATCACTGTCCACGAGGCTGTTGTCACTTTCACAAGGGGAGGATGAGAGAAGCTGGGGAGAAAAGAAGGAGTCCGTAGCGAGGGATCTGTTGTCACTTCCCATTTGGGATGGCATGATTGTTTTGGAAATATCGAGGATAGCTTCTGCACACATGAGTTCTGCAGATGTGTCTGCCCTGCAAGAGGCCTGCAGTGTGAGCTCACAAGCAGCAATCTTGTTCTCTGGAGCTACAAAGTGTCTGGCTTTTTTCAGTGGTTTAAACAGCTTGTTAAATTCATTGCTGGTGCTTTCTAACTCTGTCGACTTTGAATTAATCTCTTTTCTTTTGTTGCTGATAGGGTTTTTATGTTCTGGTGAGGCACTTTTTGTTGAGCTAATTGTCAGGCTTGCAGAAATGTTGGCTATCCCCTTGGCGTCAAATTGTTCCCTTTGCAAAAGGACTGAGCCTGTTGGGTGACCTCCCTCCTTCCTGATCTTCTCTAGCTGATAAAGCTGAATGGCTTCTTCAATGCCATCATCGCTACTTGAGTCGGAGGCGTGCAGCGCTCTCATTCAGAAGTGCTCCCCTCGTTTCCCAGTAATTAGCTCCACTTGCTTTATTTTGCTGCATTAACCAGGGCTGGCTGGCAGTGGCCATTTCTAGATAAGCGCGGTTCACTTGGTTGAAATCACCGGGCTCTTCCTGGATTTTAGCCTTCAGACACTTGGACTGCGTGCTGGTTTTCCGTAGCTTGGGATGGTGTCTCAAGAGGAGCGCGTTACAATCTTGCTTCATAGCACCACAGTTTGTTTTGTTAGTTGTTTGTTTGTTGCTTTTTAGGACAGATCTCACCTGGGAATCTTTTTTATCCTCCCCGAGTACACACTTGCTAATTTCTTGCTGCTTTTTCTCATTCAAGAACTGCACTATTTCAGCTTGTATGCTTTGTTCAAAGGAATCATCGCTGCTGATGCTTTGAGGGGAAGCGGGCTGTAGCCTTTTACCAAGTCCCAGCTGGTCAGACAGGTACTCTTCAGAGAGCATCTCTGCTTTAAATTTCACAGGTAGCAGGTCGCTAGACATTTTGTTCTGGGAGAACTGTCTCTTAAATCTTTTGTCTCTGCTTATATTTTCAGAACACTCTGCATTCCTCTGTAATGACTGGTCACTTTTGCTTTTTGCTTTCAAGTACTCTTGAATGGCTTCCTCTATACCTCGGTCAACAGAATCGTCACTATCAGAGTCAAGCAAGAGAGTCTCAAATCCCACGTTCACTTCCACTTCAGTGTCGACTGAACCAGCAGGACAACCACGCTCGGTATATTTAGGATGCTTCCGCAGCAACGTGCTGCTGGATGTGACCCTATTACCGGCGCCCTTTTCTCCCTTTTGTTTCTTCTGCATAACACAACCATACTCATTGTTCATACCCAGGGGAGACTCTTGACTTTGCAGGCTGTTTATGATCATCTGAACTTTTGCGCTTACAGAGGTTCTTGTGACGTTCCCTTCGGATTCAGAGAAGCAAACGGGGTATCTACAATTCCTTGCTGGCCCAAAGGACTCCCATTGTGTTTGAAGAGCTACCAAGGGAGAAGCATTCATAAGGAACATTCTAGCAGGCAACAGCAAAGTCCACGAAGGAAGCGTTTTTCAGACCGGTCTCTTTTCCATCCTATGATAAAAAGAAGAAAATATTTTACTATGTGGAACTTTTCAGAAGTTAGATATGTAATAATACTTGGTGGTAGAAACCGTAAACCCAGGACAGCTTTTATTAGTTCTGGCTGGGTATTAAACACAAGCAGCAGAGGAACTTGAGTAGCTCGAGGAGAAAGAAAGGGAACCTATTTCTTCCTGAAACATGCTATACTGTAATAACCCCGAGAGAGAAACCATTCTGACCTCACTGCAGGACAAAACCTTTTGGTAGACACAAATCTTCAGGAATTTGCGAGAGGTAGTATTATATTATAAACCCCAAACAGAACGAGGCCTGTTTAGAGGGACAGTGAAAAAAGTCGACAGAATGACTGACACCCCAAACAGAACTTCTACGCGGTCGCTCAAGGACAGAAGGTTTCACCTGCAGCATTGTTTGGTGGGATGAAAACAACTCCTGGCTGGAACAAGACATACAGCAGCCCCCGTTAAAAAAAAATAAAAAAATAAAATACAGCAGTGGGGCTCTTCTCTAAGCCCGATACACCGTCTCCCCTGCAAACTCAGCCAGCTCCAATCGCCAGTTCCAATCTACCAGCCTAGAGATGTGCTTTTACCTCCAAATTCTCTCCATCTTTACTCCTGTCCATTACTTCCTAGCTTTGGTTTCAAATTAATCAGTGGCAATAAATATTTTAGAGACCTTATTGGATTAAATAATATTTAATAATATTTTAAGCAGCTATCATTCTTAATATTTTAGCTAATATTTTAAAGAATGACTATGGTGATAACTCTGTAAAACTTATGTATTTGCTACTGTATTGTATAAATGTATTTGCTACTAAGAAAAAGATAACAGACAACCAGGGATGACAACGCTTTATCACTTTAAAAGAGCAGAGTGCTCCAACACAGATTGTAGTACAGCATGATAAATGCGTGTGTCAAAAGTATTCTGGGACCTGTGCTCAGGGATCAGTTTTATTGCCAACTTGTTGGGAGACTGGAATATTCTTGAAATCTTATTGACTGAGACAGAGTCACCCTGAACATGCCTCACACAATGTCCACAGGGTGGTTAGCTCTGAAAACACAGCTGGTAATGTTTTGCCTTTTCACTCTCTGATTCTCCGCTGAAGAACATCTTAGCATTTTAGCACATTTTAACCAAACCTTTGGCTCTGGACATCCATTGCTGGTTTTCTATTCCTCAGCATTAATCAGTTTCAAAACATCAATCTTGCAGAATTAAAATTGTAAGTGCAGCGATCAAGAACATTTTCGCCTGATGGTTGGTACTTGGAGCAAGCTGACACGCTGTTTAAATTCCACCTTTTCAGTCAACTGAAGATAGTTTAGATTTACTTCTGCTCTACGCTCGCCAATAAAATCCGAGCCCTCCCAGCCTTTCACATACAAAGCCGTGAGGTACCCTGGGAAGCGTCTCACAGAAGCAGCTCAGAAGCCTGCTGTGATGCAGGTCACAACTGAAACTTTTAGGAAAATGTGAATGAACAGAAAATTTCTAAAACAGTCTCCAACACATCCACTGGGGCAATGATAAATTAAAAACGGTTTTCGTTCTAATAAGCAGCAAAGCTTCAAACAGTCAGAAATTAGAACACCTAATTATCCCGAAGAAATGCAATTAACATACTTAAGATTCCAGCTTCATTTAAAAAAAAAAAAAAAAAGAAAAAAAAAGCATATATTTCGTATTAACCTACTTCCACAGTTTCCAGAGAAGGGGCAGATGTCTTCATTATCCCACACTCGGATGGCTGTGGCACTACAAACATTACACAGCGTTGAGACTAACTTTCACACCGCCCCTTCGGGCCACGGCCAGCATCCTAGTGGCAGCTGCTGAAACTCAACTGTGTGCTGGTAAATCAAAGGGACGTGCGTTAATAACACCTGTGTTTATTTACCACCTCTGATGCCGAAATATGACCGCCTTTGGAGAGAAAACATGATGGGTGTTGTGGTAATGCACCACGACGCTTGGGGCTAGGACGGGATGCCGAACCCCAGGCACAGCTGATGGGGACAACTTTGCGGCTCCCCAGCCGTGGCTGATGGGGACAACCTTAATGCTCCTTCCTCACACAGCCGAAAACCCTCTTTTGGGTATAATTTGTGGAATCGCAGCCTGGTTTGGGCCGGGACAGCCCTCAGAGCACACCCAGTGCCACCCCCTGCTGTGGGTATGACCCCACCAGCCCAGACTGCCCAAATCTCCCCAACCAGGGTCTCACCTCCCTCATAATTTCTCTGTGTCCCCCCCCAGCTCCGTGCCTCAGTTTCCCCTCTGGGAGCAGGAGATGGGGAAGGACGGGGGCGAGGGGGAGGCGAGGAGATGGCGGCGGGCCCATCAGCCCGCTGCCTCCCGGGGGGCTCTGCACCCACGGACGGGACAAACTGGGGGTCGTAAGGGGGGCCCTGCCCACCATGAGGTGGCTTTGAGGGACACCCACAAAGGCTGTGAGGGGACACCCACAGAGGGGGTGTGAGGGGACACCCTGCGAGGGGGGACACGGACGGACCACGAGGGGCCGTGAAGAAGCCACGAAGCGGCCCCACAGCGCGGGGGACACCCTTAGGGGTCCCGGTTAGCAGCCGGGGGACAGCACCGGGCACCCCCCGAGGCCAGCGGGGCGCCCCCTTCCCTCGCCGTGCCCGCCTCAGGCCGGGCCGAGCGGCGCCGCCATGGCTCCCCCTTCCCGCCTTCCGCCGCCCTCCGCCGGGCTCGGCCTCGGCTTCGGCCCCGCCGCCTCCTTCTCCTTCTCCACCTCCTCCTCCTTTTCCTCCTTCTTCCTCCTCCCGACCCTCACCTGCTGCCTCCACGGAGGTGACCGAGGCGGGAACGAAGCGGGGGACCAGGCAGCGGCGTCCCGGTGCTTGCTTCCCTTCCCCGGGGGCCGCTCGCAGCCTCTCGGTCGCGCCCCGTTCCCCGGCTTCCGAGCGGCCGCTGCCCGCCGAGCTCGGTGCAGGGGCGGGCGGTTCTTCCTTCCCTGCCCCCGGCCAGAGGGAGGCATGCGCCGCAGGGCTCCGCCGGGGAGGCGGGGGGCGGCCGGGCCGAGCCCTCGGTGGCCGCCGGTGCTCGCTGAGGGGGCGGCGGGGCAGCACCGGGCGGCACCGGGTCGGTTCGGCCTCGTTACCGGGGCTTAAAGAGAGGCACGGCCGGGCCCCTAGGAAGGAGGCTGCAGCCCTCATGGCTCTGCTGTAGGGGAGGAGGACAAGGGGGCGGCCGGTTGTCGTGGGTGCAGCCCCACGGTGGGGAAAAGGCGAGGTGTGGGATCCGTACCTCGCCCCCCCTCCCCTGGAAACACGCGTGTGGGGTGGGTGGGAGCGTGGCCCCGGCTGTGGAAATAATCCCCACGGGCTGCAATGTGCTGCCCGCAGGAGAACTCGCAGCGTTTCCTTCGGGGAGCAAAGGGAACTAGGCTTAAAATGTCAGCAAAGCTATGCCAAAGCTAAACCTAAAGTTTGGGGTGTAACGCTGAAACTGGTTATAAGAGCCAAAGCCTGCTTTGTTTGTTTGTTTTCTTTCCAGAAACTTGCTGCTACAAGTACAGGTTACCCACTGGAAAACCCCTGTGCTTCCTGGGGTTACGGCCGTCCTGACCCACCCGTGACTGTGCCCTCGCTGCAGGGCCACATCCATGCCGACGGCATTACGGATCCCAAAGCACCAGGATCCTCCCTTATGGGACACCCGTTTCAACCTGCTCCTTCACTAGAAGCTTCAGGATCACTCATAGCTCTTGGTTTCTACATCCTCACAAGCACTTCCATTCTGACTTTCTGTTAAATAAATAAATTAACACTTTAACCACAGGTGCTGCCTGTTCTCATTTTGCCAGTGCGTTTTATAGTTGTGGTGCTTGAATACCTGTGATAGTACAGGTGAAACTGGCATCTTTTGGCTGGGTGTTGCTGAAATCAGTAGGGAAATGCTCAGGTGATGAAACATCAAGTGAACAGCAGTAGGGAACAGCAGGTACAAAGGGTCCCGGGATGAAGAGGGTGGCAGCTCGTGGCTGTGCAGACCAGACACTGTGCTCCCATCCCGCTGGGCTCCTCTGTGGTTAAAGGAATTATTCCCAGTGCACAAGAACCTGGCAGATGTCAGGGCCCGTTGCCCTTCATAGGTGTATCACACAATCATTTTCCCTATCCCTCTCCATTCAAAGCTCCAGGCTCTTTGCATGAGCACGGTGGCTGACACTGCCATTTCTGCTGCAGCTCTGACGGCACATCACAGCCCTGCAACTCAGGAGAAGTTTAACTTGGAGCTAGGGGACAGTTTCCTGATGTGGTGTTACACATCGGTGAGAGTTAGCTCAGGCTCCAAGGCGAATCCATTCTGTCCTTGCTGAAAGAGGTGTTGCTGGAGCTAGTGATGCTCCCAGATTGAGCCTGCCCTGTCCCTGGTACAGGGTGCAGGGTGGGTGCTGGATGCTGCAGCTCTTTGCTGCAAGGCTTCTCTGATGTTTTTGTGCTCAATCTGCAGCAATACATCACAGGATTTGGGGCTGACGTATGCCATGTGCTGTGGAAGGTTTTCTATCCGCTTTCACCCTGAAGGTGCTTCTTTTGGGGAGCATTTTCAGCCTGAGGCAGAAGGAATTGTGCTCTTTCCTAGACTCCAATCTCATATTCTAATCTTTTTTTAAAATATTATTATTTTTTCCCCAGGAGTTGCTTACCTACCAGACCAGGTCTGATCCTGCTTTTATTCAGGACATGAGACAGGACCATGTTTCAAACAATCACGCACATTTATAGACTCAGCTTAATTTATCTCCTGCTCTTACAATAAATAAAACAGCTTTTTTTTTTTTTTTTTTTTTTTTTCTTCTGGATATGCAATAAGCTTTTATATTCTGAAATGGCTCGCTTGAATGAAACTGCTGAAAACAGCACAGCCAGCATCTGTGTGCAGAAGAAAACAATGAACATGCTTTTCCTTAGCTGCAGAATTGCAGCCCGGAGGTGAGGAAACTTTGCTCTTTTCACCATGTTCCTCCTAATGCCACTCCAAAGGAAAGAAAGGGCTCTTGTATTCGTGTATCCTCCCAGGCCAAGTCAATTTGCATGTGAATGCACTTTAAAAATAAAATTAAAGTCAGAGCGATGGCCAGAAGCCTGATAAATGTGCTTGTGCACATGCAGTTGCTCGGAGGGGAGGGAGGCTGGCTGCTGCTGGAGAGCACTGCTGTCACTGGCGGGGGTGGCAGTTTATGGCCCCTCAGAACAAGTTGGCCTCCATGTGCATCCTTTCACTTGAAATAAAAACGAAGCCTCTCCCCGAGGTCCCATTAGGGATGATTTGTCTTCCTGATCCATGATCTTTGTGGAAATGAGAGCAGTGGTCCCCATCCGCGCGTCCCTGGTGGATGGATGACAAAGTCACAGGCACTAATTGGACCCCTTGTTAGGACGGCTGGGATGGCAGGGAAATGTTCATGTTTTCAAAATGAAACATCTTCCCTGACCTCAGGATCTGCTCATCCCATTTGCAGCTTATTGCAGGGGGTAGGAACAGGCTCTCATTAGAGGTGGCTCCGGCCACATTAGAGGCGAAAGCTGCTGTGGATTATCACGGCTGAAAACAGAGTTCAGGTGATGCCTTTTTTTTTTTTTTTTTTTTCCCATAACGAAAAAAGACAAGATTAAAACCAAAATAGTAAGAATGAAAGGACTCACCTCGCAGATGTTCCTGTTGTCTGGAAACCTGTGGCTTCAAGGCCAATTACAGTCCTCACGTGGAGCTGTGTTCCAACGCCAGGCATTTCTGCGCTGCAGTTTGGCTGGGATGTGAGTCACATCCGATGCCAGCCAAGGGCACAACCACGTCTAGGACGTGGGGGAAATCGATAGAGCCTTAGGTTCTGCAAAGCTTTTCCTCTGCTGGTGCCAGCTGTGAATTCACCAAGTGTGCCGTTAAGTTTCGGGGTGAAACCACTCCATTAAAGTGAAATCCCACCAGGACCTTTAAGTTTTTGGTGGAAGCTGTGTATGGGAAAAGATGCGGAGTGAGCGTGGTCTGCACCTTGAGCTCAGCCAGTATTTGGGGTCCACGTATCACGAGGCTCCACCGAGCTTCAGGAGGTCCAAAAGTTTTGGCAAAAAATAAAATAAAATAAAATAAAAAAGCAGTGCAAGCATTGGCTTTAAATAAATTGAGTAGGCTGCTTCTCTTTGGTTCAAAACAAGGCTCAGGTGGGGCTCGAGCACCTGCTTCCCTCCTGCATGAATTTGCTCGTGCTGTAAGCACATGGCACGTCCCAGGGCAGCGGTGGTGGCCCCGGTCCTGTATGTCCCCCCCTCGGTTCAGCCCCTTCAGTCTGACCGCAGGCAGCACGTCAGCTGGAGTACAACTGCATCATGTAGTAACATGGCAAATTGAAGGGTTTAGTTGTTATTTAATAAATGCCAAGGAGACTCATGAGGCCTCGAAGTTATAATAGAAAGATCTAATTTAGAAAAAAAAAAAAAAAAAAAAAAGGGGAATAGAGATGCCTGTGAAAGCTGCCAGCCAGCAGCAGATATTGAACATTTCTATTTACCCTCCGAGCGGAGCGAGCAGCCGTAGCAGCAGGGCTGGTGCTGCCGGGGAAATGGCACCGGGGGCTGGTGGAGGGCTGGGGTCCGGCTCTCAGAGGAGCCAGCACAGATCCCACAGCCGTGGGAGGCTCCTCTCTGTCTTGCCTCAGCAGCCTCCGTTGTAGTAAATCAACCTTGCATGTCAGATTTGTATATATATATATATATATATATATATATATTTTTTTTTATAGAGAACCACTGGTTCTGTGAAATGCATCCGGTAGAAAGTACAGCACAGAGGCATGGTGACAGGGTGTGTTTAGTGGTTTTGAGTCAAATCCGGCGAACTTCCCGTTCGTTACTGACCATTAAAAGGCAGCTGAAGGGCTCCAGGGTGCACAAGTGCCCGGTTTAGAAGATGACCCCTTTCAGTGGTAACTCCTGGGTGTCTGGCGTGAGGAGACAACCCCAGAAGGACAATGCGGTGCCAAGAAGAGTGATTGAAACCCTTCCAAGTAAACTTGATATCATACGGTGCTGGACAGTTGTGAAGTGAGGGCACCTCCCTTGTGTTCTGGAACTCGAATCTTTGACTGGTTTCAAAGATGCCCTTGGCACAATCCCGCTTGTGCCCGTTAGGTGTCACAGTGCCGCCTCCAGCCCTGGCACCTCGCAGAGCAAAGAGATCTGATCCTGAGAAGCCCCTGAGGCACCCATGGGGCAGGGACCAAGCCGTGGGAGCTCACCGGCAGGAACCTGGGGCTTTCTGCTGGCCACAGGCAGCTCTGGGACCGCAGCCTGCTCCTCCTGGGGCCGCAGGCTGAGCGCACGCAGCATCCTCTTGGGGACGAGTGGTTGGAGTTGAGTGCTGAAGGCTGGTGCCAAGCCATCGAGCAGCATGCTTGCACGGTGCCAGGGGCAGCTCGCATGTTTCCTGCATCTCAGGGCTCGGGAGCACTGAGGAACGCAAGGGTTCATTCCGAGACAAAGTCCCTTTCTTTCTTTTTTAATGAACTATTTGCAGTTTCCCGCAGCAGCGCTTTGATTTTGGCCACGGGCTGGGATACGAAGGCATCGGGTGCCATGAGCCGTGGTGAAAGGTGATGGAAAGGGGTCCGGGAGCTTCAGAACGGACTTTGTAAAGGGCAAGATCAAAGCTGTACAGTGGGATTGCTGCTTTCCCTGCCACGCAAAGAAAAGCCATAATGAAACTTGAGGTGCTGCAGTCGCGATATATTTCAAAAGGAAATCCTCTTTGCCTTTGTGCTGCAATTGCTGTGAGCTTTGAGGGGACTGGCGGAGGAAAAGAAAATGCCCTGTACCCTCCAGCTCCTGTTATTACGGCTCTGCTGGCTTCTGCTGAGAAGTCCCAGCAAGACCACGGACTTGTCCCTGCGCTGCTAAGTGTCATGTTTGCAGAGCACCTTTCTGACCTGCCCAGGAGCATCCCTGCAGCCCCCTCAGAGCAGTGCTGGGGAACCTGCTGGGAGGGCTGGAGGCTGCCTGGGGTGCACCTGGATAATGCCCAAGCATCACAGGCATCCCTTGGGATCACAGGTACGGACCTGATGTGGACCTGATGTCACATTGGAGAGGTTGTGCCTCCCTCCTGAGCTGATCTGGGAGCAAAGTGCCTTCTCCTGAACCACGGGGTGATTTCCTTCACCACGGGGCAGGGGCATTTGTGGGCTCCCTTCTGGCAGCTCCCAAAGCTTGCAGCCGCAAGCACTGAGGCACTGAGCCCCAGAGATGGGGCTGCAGGGTGTGTGGGACGCTGGAGGAGCTCGTGCCCTGCAGCACAGTGCCCGAAGCTGGCACTAAAAGAAATAGGAACTTCGTTCAGCTCCAGCCGTGATGCGACTCCACCAACATCCGTATGGGAGCTCCAGGTGCCCAGCAGAGCCGGCTGCAGCACCCTCCCAGCCCACTAGCTCCAAGCCAGCTTTTTCAAAAGGCATCTTCCCGTTTAGGAAAGCTTTTCAGATCACCTTCAAGGAGTGCTCTCTATTTTTAGCACTCGCGGACTCTCTTGGCTGCAAACAACTGAAGCCTCTTGCAGCGAATTCACAACGGGGTTGCTGGCAGGAGTTCAAAGCCTCAGGACCAGAGCACGGCACAAAGGGATCGCCTTCCCCCCGAGGTCCCCGTGGAGCAGGATGAGTCCTTGCTGCCCCCACAGGATGCTGCCACCACCCCGGTCACACTGGGGTGGCCGGGGAGGGGACATGGTGGGGTTTGCAGTGCCCAACGGGGCTCGCTCGCCCACAGCTTCGCACATGCAAGGC